TGTACAACTTGAGATTCATTCATCCGCAATTGCCATTGCATTGCTCACTTCCCTTGTCATCGCGCCAAGAGGAGGTCCATTTCACCCCCCCTTGAACCATAAGACAGACATACCAAATGGGGTAGTTTGAGTCTTGTCACTATTGATGCGCCAATTCAAGGCGTTGGCATTTGAGATAACGAATTTCAAAGTGACTACTTGGGCCTTTTGCTTCACTCGTAGAACTAAAGTAATCCATTAGCTGTCTTTCGAAGTAGGACAAAACGCCGTGGAAGGTGTCAAGTCGATCAGTACAACCATAGGTGCGATTGTTTATGGAATGGAGGGTGATGGATGACGAAAACCATGCCACTGTCTGACCCAGAGAGGCCTTTATTTTAGCTGCTAAGAGCTTGAAGCATCGTAAGTCTCGCTTTGCTTAACACTTTCCAACTGTGCAAAGCTTTTGACGGACAATTTGTCCTAACTTCACTCAATGTGATTTAACCAACCACTCACTTTCCTCTCCACGACCATTACAAGGAAGTGTATTGAACGCACGTCGTTTGCTGCCTTAGCACTTCCGTTTCTCGGGCGCTTAGCCAGTCAACGTGCCTCCTCCTCCTCATTGTAGTGTGTAGGCATTCAGTCTTGCATAGGAATGACCAGCGGCGCGCCACGAGACAGCAACTTTGTCGTTAATACTCCAAGCACTAGCCAGATTCGATGGCAAGCAGGGTAGGAATGAATGAGGAATTGGAAAAGTTTTCCATACAAAAGTGCCCTCTAGACTGTCCTGATGTAAAAAGGTAGGCCTTTAAAATTGCAGTTTTCAATGTTCATGAGGTGTTGAGTGGAGTTTGTAACGCATTCCACCGTCCAGCTCTTGCATTACCCTTTCAAGCACAATAAAAGTGGAGCGCTAGACAAATGCATAATTCTTGGACGATTTTCGTCAGGTATGCGAGCGGCGTGATGTCCTGGAAGCTTTGGTGAAGAGTAGCGCTGTTGAAACCCCCCTTTTCCATGGAAGGAGATTATTTTTTGTCGACGTCAAGGAGCCTAGGCGTTAATGTCAGTATTCCGCGTCCTGCCAAATGACAGAACCTCCGTTTGCTATGCCTTCATTGTTGATTGCACTTAAATTAGCTTTTGATTGACAAGCGCTTTGCTAGGTTCAACAATTAACTCCTCCATTACTCAATTGCCTCTTTCCCTTCTTAGCCATGGGCTATGGAGGCGGTGCAAGTGGTGTTTTTGCAGGCTCCGGACCGCTGCTTCTGCAGGCTGGTGGTGCGGGTTTCTTCGGTCTCATCAATCCTTGGCTAGCGGGCATTCTTGTCTGTCTCCTGCCCCTCATCTCTGCCCTCATTTGGGCCTGTTGGCGCTGCAAACCCGGTTGCTGTCCCTGCTGCGTTGGTGGTGCAGGGGGCAAGGCGGCTGGCGGTAAGTTCCACGACACCATGGACCGCATTTCTGCTGGACTTTGGGCGGCTCCACCAGCTGACAAAGACCTCCTCGGTATGTGCAGGCCCTTCTGCTTCCTCATCGTATTCCTACGCGCATGTTATCGATGTGCTTGCGCTTCCTCCTCTCCTTTCCATTGCTCTTCGCCTTCTCTTGCGCTGCTGCATGGACATCTTCGGGCGGAATGCTTTTTTTCGTTTGGGCGATAGAGCTGGAGTGAATGGAGAGGGATTCCTACAACAGACCTCTCAGTTCAGGGTTCACTCATCATTTCCGTAGCTTGTAATCCCCTAAAGGCGTACTCATTTCCCGACCAGATGGTGATCAAATTCTCTTAAATGATTATCACCAAAATAACCATATCGTTGCTGGCAATGGCTTGCAAGACGGTTAAGTCCACGGCACTTTGCAAGTAATAGCAAAATTCTGCACGCAACTGTGAGGTCAGTAAACGGGAGTAAGCTCCCCTCGTCTGCCAGCCATTGGAGGAGTTTTACCACCTTTGTGAACTTTGGCGATGAGTTTGGTGACACTTGCCAGTGTTGTGCCTCTCAAATCACCTTTGCCTCCCGGCACTGGAGTCAGGCAATCTGAGAGCAACGAGACAGAGCAGACTTGTGGTGTGAAGTTGGTCCGTTTGCTTTTCGGGTCACTGTAACTGCAGTGCGATGTCCACCTTCCTTCCTGCCCGACCGTAAGAGGGGCCAACTTTCAATGTTCTCACCTTGGCGTTGGTTGGACTCCATTAGTTGCAAAATTGCTTGTCATGGTCTCGACGCACGATATTTCAAACAATGAGGGGTGGACTGAAGATCTAAGAGTGAATTTTGCCTCGCAAAGTCATCTACTCCCTATTGATGCGGAGCGTTGGATGCTGACAAGTTCTTGAGTGGGCGAAGTCTGGCAATTCACCAATCCACGTTTCATCAAGTCCCACTTTTGAAGGCCTGAATGCATTCAAGGTGGCAGCAAGGCTTGCTTGAGCGCACTTAAACAACAACAACAACAACCAGTGGTAGTGAAAGTCACTCGCCTCCTTTCTGCTACGATACGCATGCATAATGAAGCAAACCGGTTCGTCTTGTCATCAAGCTGAGACTGACACCGGATGTTGTGTGGTTTCGTTCGA